CGGCGGCCCCCTGCCGTCACAGCTCAGAACTTCAGGCGGATGGAGGTGCAGCGGCTCAGAGGCCTGGGGGTGGGGGAGTGCTGGCACAGGTGGCAGAGAGCAGTGAGGCCCACCTTTGGGGACTCTCAGCCCCTCTGGAAGCAGACTGGCGGGGCAGTGTGCACATGTCCTGGGGTTCTGTGCTTTGCGTGCAGTGGGTCTGTGGTTGGCGAGTTCCCTTGTGAAGGTGCATGAAAGCTGCCATGCTTTGCAGGGCCCGACACAAACGGGCGGAGGAGTCTGAAGGGCTGCCCCGCCTGGACTGCTCCTGCCCTGGGAAGAGGCTCGCGCGGCCAGGGTGGCTCCGTGGGCAGGTGGCACTGGTTCCAGCCCAGCGCCTGGCCGCTGTGTCTCACTGCTGGTGCTGCCCGCATTGGCGTGTGGTGGTAGGGATGCCCAGGTGCTGTGGCGGTGCCAGTACAGGTACAGGTTGGGCAGCTTGGGCACGTCAGCCAGGTAGAAACGCAGGCCACATGGAGGCACAGCCGGGACACCACCAGAGCCGCCCGTGCGCAGGTCGGGACCGGTCCGGCCGGCACAGCACTGCTGGGCTCTGTCGTCTCCTGGGGTGGTGTGGCCTCTGGCATTCCTTTGAGGGGCTGCTCCTGTGCGCAGGTTGGCGGCTTGTGGAGCCCTTGGCAGTGCCTTTTGGAATGGCTGGGACGTGGCCCTGCCCAGTGTCACCTGCGGTGTGGCTCAGCTGTTCCCTTGGCCCGTGCTTTGCCTCGACTGTGGTTCTGTGTGCATTTGTCTTGGCAGAGAAGGACCCTGTCCTTGGCCTGGCTGATTAAAAACTCGAGAATAGAATGTGTGGCCTGGATCTCCTCCCTGCAAGAATCCGTACACAGACTTTGACCTCTTTTTTGGTGGCTCTGTTCCCTTGGGAGCCGTGCCCTCGGGGAATTTCACGAGGGGTGAAGGGAGAGGGGAGCATGGCTCCCAGTTGTCCACTGAGCTCTCCCTTGGATCCTCAGGGTGGGGCGGGCTGAGCTCTGTGGGGCCAGATGACGGGGGAGGTGAGGAGGGAGGCAGAGCCTGGAGCAGCCCGTGTCATCGGCAGCCTGGGAAGTTGGTGGAACAGTACTGGGGTGGTGTCAGTCATCCCCCATGACTGAGTACGTTGGTCAGCGTTAAGGCCACCTGGGATTGCGGCCCTGTTGGGGACCCCTCTGGGTCCCTGTATGCCTGAAGGGGCTCCACGGCAGGGGTCGTGACGCTGGGGCAGCCTGTCAGGCTTGCCTTTCTCATGGCCTTGGACAGCCAGGGCCACCCAGGGATTGTGGGGGTGGCAGTTCTAGCGCCTTCTCTGGGCGTGGCGCTGTCCTCCAGCCTGCAGAGGAGGCAGCACGAAGGTGGGAAAGCCACTGTGGAGGAGGATGGGGTCCCCCAAGCACCTGCACGGCCGCTCCTGGTGTCGTGGGCCCTGGATTGGGCCAACTCGTACGAGCATCGCTAGAAGCTGTCTGGTCACCCCTGCCCTGCCACTGTCCTGGGGAAGGTACCTGGCCACGGCGCAGCCTGCAGAGCAGGCAGAGGTGCCAGGGGTTCCTGAAACCAGTGCCAGTCAGGTTAGCTGCTGCCCATGTGCCTGGTGGGGGCCCGCTGCTGGCCTCCCCACCCAGGCCTGGCCCGCGGCACTCTGCCTCATCCCACATGCTCGAGGTGTGCTTGGGCGCTCTGCCGCCTTCAGGTCACCCTAACGTTCTCTGCCGGGCGGCGGAGCAGTCAGCCGCGCCATGGCG